ACAGAACAAAAGTCACTAAAGTGTGAGGCTGGGTGTTTACAGGGAAAATTCCTCTCCAGGTGCCAGGTTTATTAATAGAAGGAGGAAAAAACCAAGGGGGAGAGGCAGGGCCACAGCTGGACAAGGAACATCTGGGGAAGGAGATGCTTTTGTGAGGGTGGATGGATTTGGGTACACGTGGGATGGGGGTGTGAGGGTAGGGGTGCAGTAAGCACCCATGTCCCCCTGCCACCAAGACTCCAGAGGGCTGAGTGGCCCTTGGAATGTCATGCCTTGGGCATCGCTGCGAGGCAGGGGGTCCCCAGCTCACCCAGTGGGACCCTGGCAGGGCTGATCCACATCCTTTGAAGTTTTCCCCATTAACTGATAGAAAACGGCCCCAAACTGGGCAGGATCCAGGCTGATGAACAGGACTCACTGTCAGCATCGCTGGAGGAGCTGGAGCTGCTGGGACACGAGGAATACAAGCTCAGCCAGGGTTCATGATGTGATGTTTGGGGCACCAACCCCCCCCCCCACCCCCCCAGCTCCTTCATGGGCTCAGGGACTCCCAGCAGTGCTGAGGGTGGCAGAGCTGTGCCCCCTGGCCCCCACACCACCCACCTCTTTAGAGTGCCTGCACACAGGCTGGCATTTGCACTTCCATATGTGATGCATTAGGATTTGTTTAGAAGCCCTTTATTGTCATATTTTGTTCTTTATTTCCTACAAATTCAATTTGCTGAGGGATATGTGCGGATTGTGAAATTATTTTGAGAATAGTTCCTCTGGGTTTTTTAATTTCCTTTGTATTAAATTTTTACAGTGTTTAAAAGGCTATGAAAAATTTTATATTAAAAAAAAAAAAAAAAAAAAAAAAGGAGGGCATAATTCCAGGAGGGAAAGGAGAAAAAGCTCGAGAAGGGCTGGCTGTGGGACCAGCCACTGCTGCCTGTCATGGCAGGAACTGGGGATAGTATGGCACAGATGTCCCCTCTTGCTCCCACTCCATCCTGGCTGGAAAACCAGGGCTTGGAAAGATGTGGCTGCTGCCTCAAAGCTGGTGCCGGAGTGGGACCTGCTGTTTGCCAAGGCCTGGGTTACTGTGGTTATTCCCACCACTCAGCCTTTCCCTTTCCATTGCTCCCCATGTGGGAGCAGGGCTGGGATCCTTCACCCAAGGCCATGGAGTTCTGCTGAGCCCCTGCCTGCCTTTCCAACCCCTCACAATCGTTCAGTGCAGACATGAAAGGCCATGGCCAGGCCCTGAAACCGCCCTCCCCTGCAAAGGATTCCCGACATGAAAATCTTCCCAATTATTCCTGAGCTGTGACTGTGGAAAGCCAAGCTGCCCCCCCACGAAGGGCTCCACAGCTTGGAGGCATTAGGGACCCCTTTCGCTGCCGGGGCTGCCGCCCTCCATCCCCTGCACTGGGTGTTTCCAGCTCCTCCAAATCACAGACACATTTTTCATCTCTGTTTCTACCACTGTCATCGTCATTGTTCCAGGGTGGTGCAAATTGGGAACTGGCCGTGCACTGACACTGCTGCTCCCTCCGCCTGCAGCCACCCCTGTCCCCAGGACCTGCAGGAGGTCCCGTTCTGGGGGATGGGCCAGGATGGTACCAGTGTCCTGCTGCCAATCCCCCGGGGGCTTTTGCCTGGTTCCTGTCACCGCCTGGCACGGGACCCCTGGCACACAGCATCCCGCCTCTCTCTGACGTGGTTTCCCCTCAGCATCCTGCCCGAGGCGTGCCTTGAGGAGGGTGCTGGGGCTGTGCTGGTGTCTGGCAAAGGTCTGGGGGAGACCTCTCCAGGGTTTTGTGGGGGCTGCAGCAGCTCAGCAGGTCTGGGGAGGGAGTTGGAGGCCTTGGGAATCATAGAATCATCCAGTTCCAGCTGCCTTGCCATGGGCAGGGACACCTTCCGCTAGACCAGATTGTTCCTAGCCGCTTCCAGCCTGGTCTTGAACACTTCCAGGGATTGGGAAACTCAAACCCAGGGCTGCAGCATCCTCTGTCTCAAGGGACCAAGGACAAGGACTCCCCTTTGCAGTGCCAGGGTGTCCACCCATCACTGCAGCCAGGGTGGTTGGTGCTTCTCGTCACAGCGCAGCAGAGGGGAAGGAGCTGATGTGGAAAATCATGCAGCAAGTTTTCTCCATTAATGACAAGGAAAAAGAAGAATCCAGAGAATGCATAGCTTCAATTGAGAGCAAGATGCCAGGGCTGCAGAGTTGTCTGGTGCAGTAGGATGTGCCGGAGAGTCAGCAGTGCTGGCCGTCTGGGAAGAATGACAGGCTGTTTGAAGAAGCTGGGAACAGCGCAGACTTCCAGGGATGCAGAGATGCAGGCATGCAGAGATGGAGGGATTCAGAGATTCAGGGATGTGTGGATGCAGGGATGCAAGCCCTGACCTCATGGCCCCTCTTCCCACCACACCCCCCTGCCCAGGCAGACCCTCTCCCCAGCCCCAGGGTGCCGAGGCCTCCTCAGCTCTGCTCTGCTCTGCTCCTCTGACCCCGCCAGGAACTTGGCAAAGCGACGGGAGAGGATTGCCGAGCAGAGCCCAGCTCTTGATCTGTTCTAGGAAAAGAGAGGCCACACCAAGGACTTTCTGAAATTCCTTCCTGAGGCCTTGGCTGGGAGCTGCTGCCTCTTTGCTGAGGCATTCAGACCCTGGCAGCACTGGGGCTCAAGCCCCGGCCTGGCCATGCCGTCCTGCCCCTTCCCAGCACACAGGTTTAGGAGCTGCAGCCTTGGCAAGGGCTCTGTGCCCCAGCCCGTGCCCCTCTGCAGGTGTCTGGGTGAGGAGCCTCCCTGTCAGCCACCTCCTGGCCCCCCTTTGCCACCAGAGTCACGAGGTGGTGGCTTCTCCAGGCCACCAGCGTCGCTCTCCCCGCCTCGCACTCGCAAATTCCTTTCACATGAACAGGAAATACGAGTCCTTCGCTTCTCTTTGTTTTTTCAGGGAAAAAAATATGTAAAAAAAAAAAAATAATCTAATCAAACGCTGTTTGTTTGTGGTCTTGGTGATCTCCAGTTGTTTGGTTGAGGGTGGAACTCAACGTGATGCCATTGGGATGGCCACAAACTGGGATACCCCAAACCAGCTGCAAAACCAGGCGTTCCCAGCCCTGCCATTGTCAGTAGAGGTGGGGCTCATCCCCATGTGGGGACAGACAGATGTCCCCACGGCCTCACTGGAACTGGGAGCACCGGAACCGGAGTGGGTTTGGCTGATGGAGCCGTTGCTGGCCCCGCTGCCGTTGGGCTAACTGGGAGAGGCTGGGAGCTCAGGGATTGCTGTGTGGTCTTCCAGGGGGGCTCAAATTAGCAAACCAGCATTGTTAGACAGCTGAAAACATCAGTAGCCTTTAATTATCTCCTTTTCCTCTGGGAGGAGGCATTTTGCACCCAGGGAGGCCGTGCCACACATCACTCTTTCATCACAGTGTGATGGGATTTTCCCCCACTGCCGGTGATTGGAAGCAGCCAAGATCCCGTGGCACATCCTGCTCCTGATGAGCAAGCACTGCTGTGCCAGGACCCTCAAGACCCCCACCCATGGGAAGCACTGCTGTGACCCTCGTGGGACCCCGTTCCTGGGTACGGCCTAGCACAGGAACATCCCTCCTCCTGTGAAGAGCTGATGTCTGTTTAGTCACCAGCCCAAGGGGACTCGGAGCAGCATCAGTTCCAGGAAACACGATACCCTCTGCACACCAGAGCACCCCCAGGCCAGGGCTGAGGGCTCAGCAGGAGGGACCCTCTGCCTGCAGGAAGGTGCTGGGACTTTACTATTGCAATGGGTGACGGGGTTGGTGCTGTTGGGAGCCTCCCAGACAGCCAAGGGAGAGCAGGGATGGATGGAGAGAGATGAGGGCACCAGGTCATTATGCCCCTCTCTGCTGTGGCCTCCCCTGAGCCAAGACAGAGCCTCTCCCTGGTAGGGAACCGTGAGATGCCATGGGGAGGAGAGGTGGCAGCTGAGAGTGCCCAGGGTGCTTGCGGGGCACGGAGGAGGCTGGGGATGTTTGGAAATGTCCTTTTTTTCTTCTTTTGCTTTCACAGTGCTGCATGCATTTTTTACTTCATTTAATCTTTTTTTTTTTTTTTTTCCTCAAATCCCCAAGTGAAGAATTCTTTCCATGAGCCAGATCCTGCTGCCACGGCTCTGCGCCCGGCCATGGCACTGGGGACTGTCCAGGGACTGTGCCCCTGTGTCCCTCCTCTGGCTGCAGCAGCACAGATGCTCAGGAGGAAGAGTGAGGCTCAGGACACCCCACTGGCACCCTCCCTGCACTGCTTCAGCTCCCACCCCAGCCCCCTTCTCTTCCCACTCTTGCCATTCGATGCTTTTTGGGGTGATGAACCTCCTCTGTGTGCTTTGAGTGGGAACTGCCTGCAACCCATTTGAAACAGCTCAGACTTTGTCTTTATTCCAGCTCCTGAAAATTGAATTTGTTAGTGGCATAAACAGGATATAAAAGGCTGAAAAAACATGAAAAAGGAGAGGGGAATGTTTTTCTCCATGACTTTGCCTGTGACCTGTGAGGACCACATCTCTGGCACCCCTGCATATTAGTCAAACTCCTGAGGGCAAACAGCCCCCAGGAACCAGCTCTGTCCAGCATCACAGGGCACTGCTGATCCTGGAGTTTTTTAATACAAAGGTCACAACTTCTGCTCTTTTCTCTTTTTTTTTTCCCCTGGTGTTCTCCAAACTGACGGTGGTTTATGGTGCTCTTTGACGTCAGCCACAAATGGGGCTGCCAGGTGGTAATAATTTTCCTGAATGTCGGCTAAATACAATTATCACTCTATTTTCACTTCAGAAATATTGAAGTTTGTGTTCCTCCTGTTATTAATTCTGAAAAAAAACAAAACCTTTACACTTCACCGTGGCACACGGCCCTGGGGCACCGGTCACTGCAGCAGGGCTGGTGATCATGATCCACGCTGGCCCTGCTGTGCCACATCCCCAGGCTGTGCCGGAGGGGAAGGGTGGGAGGCAGAGCCCAACAGACACAGGGACAGAGCCAGGAGCTGGGATGTCAGCAGGGTGAGGACACAAGCCCAATACTGGGATGGTGAGGATGGACCGGTGTCCCCGTGGGACACCCAAAGCCCCGATTCCCACTTTGTGGACTACAAACTTAAAATGGGTGTTTCCCATTCCTGTGCCAGCACAACAGGGTCCATAGAAGGACAAACTCCTAGACAGGCCGTTTCCTCCTGGCTTGGTGTCCAAAGCATGAGCACATCCCTGCAGCTTCGGCCAGGGCAGGCAGGAGCTGAGGAGCCTCCAGCTTTTGTCACGGAATGATCAAATCCTGCTGCCAGGGTCCACAAGGGTTGGAATGATACGAAGGTCCAAGTTCAGCTGCAGCCAGAGGATCCAGGGCAGTACCCAGAGCTGGCACACTGGGGTTGGATTTTCAGCAAAATGGCTTAAAAGTAAACTCCGAGACAGAGACACCATCGCAGCCTTCGGCAGCTGAGTCCCAGATGGGCGATTCCAACTCCAGCATCGGGCTCTCAGCCCTGGCACATGCTGGGGTGCAGGTGCAGCCACAAACCCCAGGTTTTCCTTCCCTGAGGGCACTCAGATGGGCACCCCACTCACTCCTGGCTGCACCTCAGCCCCTCACCAGCAGCACATGCACAGGGAGCTGCAGCTGCAGTGGGGCATGGGCAGGGCTGGCCGAGGGCACTGGAGCCACGAGCTCAGCAGCTGCCTCCACAGCCCTCCCCGGGCTCTGCGGCTGCTGGGGGGAATTTCCCCATCCCCAACCAGGAGCCTGCCCAAAGCCTTTGTCCTCTGCTGAATTCCAGCTGGTAAGAGTCATCCACCAGAGTCAGAGGATTTACCCTCCTGGGGAATGATGTGCAAGAGGGAACCATGTAGTCACATTAAAATTATTTGAAAAAGGATGGGACTTCTGAGTGCTGTCTCACGTGGAGCCAGGAACATCCATCTGACTGATGCTTCCATCTTTCTCAATAGTTTCCTTAAATAGCCCAAATATTCAAAAAAAAAAAAAATCTATCGGAATTTGGCATTAATGGTTCTTAGGAGAACAGAAGAGGGCCAGCTACTAAAATACCGCTGCCTCGCTCCCTTCCAGTAACAAACACATGATTCTCATTGCAGGGAAGTCGATAGTCACATCTGCCACAGAGGATGCTCCGTGGTCACTGGTGCTTTGGCTTTGCTGGGAGAGCAGTGCTGGCTGTGCCCAGGCTGAGGGGTACAGCGGGAGCAGCAGAAGCACCCAAGTCCCCTGGGGAATTTCAGCTCCCTGACAGCAAAATAACCTGCAGTCACAAACCCCAGGCTCCCTGCCCTGCACCACACGTTCCACCTTCTGCCTTTCCTTGGAGAAACCTTCCCTGAGCCCCCCGCTGTGCACAGCTGGGGGAATGGCTGCAATGGCAGGAAGAGATTCTGGAGCAGTTTTCACGCTGTGTCTCAGTTTCCCAAAGACCCTCCCTGCCTTTTGTTCTTAGTCTCACCTCCTGCCAGCTCTTGCCAGGAACCTTGCCAAGGGGTGGGAGTTGTTTTATGGCCTGGCTTAACGTGGGGGACTCCTCACCATCGTGTTTGCTCTTGTTTCATCCATCCAGCTCTACTTGAGGAGCAGTGACAGAGTTTCAGTGACAGAGTTTCAGTGACAGAGTTTCAGTGGCTTGCGTGGGATGGAGATTTACGTTGGCTGCGAGGATGGCACTCAGAGCGAGCCTTTCTCTGCAGGGATGATGGAGCTGAGGGGCTTTTTCTGTCCCAGTCCCATTCACTGCTGGACACGAGTTGAATAAAGACTTCAACAACCACCAGCCTTCATGTCCATCTCCTTCTTTCACCTTCTCCACTGAACACCAAGGTCTCAGAACGATGGTTCCTGCAGTGAGCCAGTGCACCCTCCCTCCTCCCAAGGTTCTCCCCGTTCCAACACCCTCATCTCCTGGCTACCTGAGAGCGCTGCCCAAAAGCCACCTCTCCTTGAGGAATCCCAGCTGAGCCATCACCCTCTGACTGCAGAGGAGCCCATCCCGCTGGGATGATGCCCTTCCTTCCCAGCGCCCGTCGGCGCTGGCCGGCACCGAGCCCACCCCGCGCCAGCCGCCGGGTGTTCTTGCCGCTCTGACAGCTGTACGGAAATTGGAAGGCGATGCTGACATGTGTCAACAATAACCAGCGAACAAGCGCCAGCGGCGGCGGCTGTCCCCACCACCTCGAGGAGGCAGGCTGGCCACTCTTGGCTGAAATCACGGCACGTTGCGGCTGGAAGCAGGAGTATTGTTTCAATTATTTCTATTATATAAAGTCAGGCCATTTAATATATTCTGCCTCAAAGGGGCTCAACTAAAGAGATAAAATAAACACTGGAAATCTGCTCTGCTGACACGGAGCGGGAATTCAGTTTCGACACCAAACCTTCCCTCCCATCTCTCTGCTCGCCTTCCCTTTCCTCCCAGCTCCCTCTCCTCCTCTTGCTGCCCCTCGGCCTTCGGCACCACTTGACGCCAATTCCCTGTCTGGGTTTTGCTCCTGTTTTGGCAGCCAGAGTGCTCCAAAGCTGCGCAGTCGCACCAGCGGCCAGGACCGGAGCGAGCCAGAGGAGCCGTGCTGGCAGGAGGAGAGCCTGAGCTCCAGAGATTGCTCTGGGATGAAGGATTTTATCTGTGGCAAAACTTAAACCTCTTGGGGTGCCACATCCCCTGGGAGCAGCCGGCGTGGCAGGCAGGACGAACCCAGGAATGACCGGAGCATGGCATGAGGAGGAGGAGCAGGAGAAGGAGAGAAAATGTGCCATGAGCATACTGCAGGACGCCCTTGGCTGACATCAGCAGTGAAGTCAGCCACCTTCACACCTTCCTCCTTGTCTGGGAGAGCTCATGGCATCCCAGCACTAAGAGATCTCACCAGCTCTGTGCCAATACAAGAGGTGGTGAGATGGGCTGCTCCCCCCAACTCTGGTCAGGCAGGAGCTGCTTCCCGCTAGAACTTCCCATGGCATCGGCCCAGCAGAGCTCTCCTCCCTTTCAGGGCTGTGCTGGTCCAGGTATTCCAAGCATGTCCACATGTGGGAAGGAGCACCAGCCGCACCAGGCTCTGGCACCAGTAGTAAATCTGCCACTTAGCCGTTCCCAGCAGGTCTCCCTGCTCCAAGCTCTGCCTCCCCGGAGCGGGGTCATGGGCAGTGGCAGGGCCAGGGAGCCGGGTGGTGGAGGCAGCCGTGTCACAGGATGCAGTGAGGGCTGCGGGGCGGCCTGAGGTGGAGCCGGCATTTCATAAGAGCAGGGAAAGGGACTCTGCCAAGCTGGCGCAAGAGTGGCTGTGACTTTCCATTCCTGTGGGAAGTGGGCTGCCACCGTCCAAGCATCTGGGCTTGTTATGATGGGAGAGGAATGCCAAGTATTTTTTCCCTTATCCACTACCATCCGCTCAAACCCTCCCCTGATCAAACCCACATTCATCGACTGGGATGCACCAGGGCCCCTGCACCGGAGGATATTCCTCCTGGCTGCTGGGACCTCATGGCACCTGCAGAGAAACCCCTGCCCTCATCCACAAGCTCCCTCCATCCCCCTGCCCCTTCCTGTTTCTTTCTGCTGCCAGCCAGCTCCAGACATTTCATTCTCACTTTACTGCCTCGACCAGGAGCATCCCTGTGCCTGCATCTGTGTCCACACCCGTGTACCTGCACTGCAGTATCTGCATCCCTGTGCCTGCACCCCTGTGCCAACAGCCCTGTGCTGCAAGCCTGTGCTTGCAATTGCTGTGCCTGCATCCCTGTGCCAACATCCCTGTGCCTGTATCCCTCTGCCAACATCTGTGTGCCTGCCTCCCTGTGCCACTACCCCTGTGCCAGCATCCCTGCTGACTCGTGGACCTGGAGGGACCATGCTGTCCCTTCCAGAGCCCCGAGCATCCCAAAAGCAGCCTCTGGGATGGTGCCACGGGCGTGTGCCCTGGGGCGCCGGCCGTGCCGGGAAGCAGGCGGTGCAGCCTTGGAAGGTCACCAAGATTCTTCCCAAGATGAAAGTGTGCTCAAGTGTCAAACAAACTTTCTGAATTATCTTTCTGGACACTTTCTCCCTTCTGCTTTGGAAGGCGGATGAGGAACATTTCATTCCCTCTGCACTGGCGTGGAGCAGGGCTGTGTGAGGAGCCGGGAGCTGCCAGCAGCACCCGCGGCTCAGCCTCGCTTCTCCCCAGCATCACCCCTGAGTCACCGCGGGTGCTGCCCTGGCACCTTCACCAAACATATCCCAGCACAACAGAGGGGTGCCAGGCACCCAGTTAACCAGGGGACACCACCTCATGCCTTCCCACCATCATTTGGGTTTGTCATAACTGAGGGGAATGAGAGGGTTTCTCTGCTCCCGGCACCCACCAGCAGGGACGTGGCGATGGCTGCGCTGCTGCCCTTGGAAAATCCCCCGTGATCCCACACAGCCAGGGATGGGCTGAGCAATGGCCACGTGCTGCCCTAAGGATCCAGCACTAATGACAGCGGTCTAATTAGTGCATTCTCCTGCGAGGGGTCACCCTGGCAGGGTTCCTGCTGACATCCGTTTGCCTGTGCCAGCAGCCAGAGAACGTGACCAGGGGTGAGGTGCTTCCCTGGCCTTTGACCAGCATTTGGCTTCCAGGTCTGGACAAGGAAATTCCCTGTTGGCTCCCAGGAACCTGGGCTGGCACCCAGCAGGGCTTGTGGCAGCTCCTTGACCCGTGGCACCCACGTCACCTCCAGGTCAGAGCCATCCACACCATTGCAGCTGCCTGTAGCTGGGATCTGGAGACACTCACATATCTCCAGTGCCATTCCCATATCCCTGTTTTTCTACACTGGGATGGCAGTGCCATGTCCATGCCCACACAGCCCTCCCCAGCCCATGCAGACCACCGATGGTGACGCCGTGCTGCACTTTTGGTTGTTCATGGAAACTTTGGCTGAGCCAGAGGCTGCAAACCTGCATTTTATGTGTAATTTTTCAATTTATTTAATAATTAGAAAAAAAAAAAAACACCTAAAGTGATTCCAACCATTATTACTACTGGTTTTCTCCGTTATTACTCCTAGTTTCCTATAACAAGGCCAAAGGGGTCTGAAATGTTTCCTTTGTTGTCTGATCATTAACCTTCAGGAATGAAACACAGCGGTACCCGATGGGAACGGGGGAGAGAGATGCTCAGGGGAGCTGGAGGAGAGAGGGCGAGAAGGAGGGAGGAATTTGGGGAGTAGGAGAAGAGTAACCCCAATGTGCTGTCCCTGGGCATGGTTGGACATCCTGGGACACTGATGGATGTGTCCCTGTGGGTGACACTATGTCCCTGTGGGTGGCCCTCCCCGGTGCAATGAGTTTGCTCGGGCTCAGGAGTGCCCAACATGTTTGTCCCTCCCAGGTAAGGCAGACCTGGAGCATCCTGGGTGAGAAGGAGCCCTGCAGCCAGCTGGGATGAGGGATGGGCAGGTGGGTGAGCATCTGCCCCAGGGACCCCCCCGTGCTCTCTCCAAGGGGAGGAGAGGAGCACCGTGTGCTGGGTTTGCATTTGACGGTGCCAAGGGTGGGTGCAGTGTCATCAGGGCTGTCATTGGGACTGTCACTGGTGGCCA